TGAGGATGAAGGGTAATATTGTTTTTTTAAAAAAAATAGATGAGGAATAAATATGGCAAAAAGGAAATATAGAAATTGTAAATTTAATTGAAATGACTAAACGCTGTTTAAATTTGTGAACCAGCCAAATATTCTGTTCAAAGAAAATACATTGTATGTTTGTATGTGTGTTTCTAATTATTGCTATTTATTCATATTTGTTCTCTTTTATTCTTTAAAGTTTAACAATTCATTCTTAATCTTAATATCTTTATATTTGCTTGGGGTTGGCTTTCTTCCCTTTCATCTTTTTTATTGTACAGCAATCTTTCTCCTCAAACCTACCACCACTCTCTTTTCTTTCCTTCTTACTTTCTCTTCCCCCCACCCTCTTTTTCTCCTCCCTACTTCCTCTTCCTTTCTCCTTCTCCTCCTCTCTTCCTCCCTCTCTTACATTCACTCCGACTCTAATTTCCATTCCTTCATCCCTCTCTATTACTGTATCCTTTAATGCATATGGACTACTCAGAGGGCTGAAAAAGTTATTTTTGACTGGTCCTCACACTTTTGACCAGTCCTTGAACTTACGACTGTCCTCACATTTTACATTTTTGCCCTATCTTGTCATCATGGTGAAGAGAAGCAGTTGTGAAATGAGTGACATGGTTGTTAAGAATGCTGCATGGGCATAAATATGAGGATGGTCATAAGTGTGAGGACCAGTCAAAAGTGCGAGGACCTGTCAGAAATGACTTTTTTCAGCCCTCTGGTTAGTCCTTTTGTGCATATGGACTACTCAGAGGGCTGAAAAAGTTATTTTTGACTGGTCCTCACACTTTTGACCAGTCCTTGAACTTACGACTGTCCTCACATTTTACATTTTTGCCCTATCTGTCATCATGGTGAAGAGAAGCAGTTGTGAAATGAGTGACATGGTTGTTAAGAATGCTGCATGGGCATAAATATGAGGATGGTCATAAGTGTGAGGACCAGTCAAAAGTGCAAGGACCTGTCAGAAATGACTTTTTTCAGCCCTCTGGTTAGTCCTTTTGTGCATATGGACTACTCGGAGGGCTGAAAAAGTTATTTTTGACTGGTCCTCACACTTTTGACCAGTCCTCGAACTTATGACTGTCCTCACATTTTACATTTTTGCCCTATCTTGTCACCATGGTGAAGAGAAGCAGTTGTGAAATGAGTGACATGGTTGTTAAGAATACTGCACGGGCATAAATGTGAGGATGGTCATAAGTGTGAGGACCAGTCAAAAGTGTGAGGACCTGTCAGAAATGACTTTTCAGCCCTCTGAGTAGTCCCTATACACATAGCCACGCCCACCCGGTCACATGACCAGCTAGCCACGCCCACCCAGTCACATGACCAGCTAGCCACGCCCACCCAGTCACATGACCAGATATCCACGCCCACAAAATAAGCCACGCCCACAATGTCCCTCTTTACCAATGTTAAAATCTGGTCACCTTACAATACTTACAACTGACAACCCATTTAAAGAATGGCAGAAGGATATTTATAAGTTCATATAGCAAAGGAAAAAACAAGAATTAGATATATGCTACTGCAAGATGCTAAGGAAAGAGGGGGTTTGGTCTACCAGATATGAAACTGTATTTTGATGCATGCTGTCTGACCTGGATAAAAAAATGGGTGGGTCTCCAGAATAAGGTTACTTGAATTAGACGGCCATGAATTAAGGTTTGTGTCGGGCCTGCCTCCATTCAAAACCCAAGAAAGAAAACCCCCGACTCCATTGAAATAGAGAAGAGGTACTTTTACTGAGTTTGAAATGATAGCAGTGAAAGGAAAGCAAGATCTGAGTCAAAAGGTGCGAAAGTTACATATTGAAAGTTTCCCCAAATCCCTCCCTCAGGGACCCAGGCTGAATGTCCAATCCACGTCCCACATAGTGTCATGTGGGGCACATCTTCTGGTGTTTTTGTCCATCTGGAGTTCTAGGACAGTTGGCCTTGACTAGTTGTATAAACAACTCCATTCAGCAGCGCAGTAATTTTTGAAAGCAAACCTCCCTTTTAGTTCACATGGGCCTTCATCACATCAGCACACTTTCGAAACCCCAATGCCATGCCCCCCTTCCCCATTACTATAGCAGCCAATAGCAAGCAATCATCAAAGGGAAAACTCATGCTGGAGATCTGGCAGACAGTTTGGATGGCACAGCTACTTATGGTATGAAAGTAAAGTAAATGTTGAATTTAATAATCATTTTGTTTGCTTTCATCTCTCTTTGCCCTAGGAAGCAAACTACTTCTAAACATCTTGGGAAGAAAACTGCAGTTGCCAGGAGCTGACTGCAGTCATACAGTCAAGTGTATTGTAGTCACTTAATCAGCTCTCCAGCCCTCTGTCCTGCACGTTTAAGCAGTTTGGTGCGTTTTCCCCCATTTTCCTGCCACTGTGACTGTGACTGTGTCACGCAGGCAAGATCAGGTAAAGGGGACCTTGGCAGCAGCTGGATGTAGGTTTATTCCAAAAGAAAATAAAAGAGACTAAAAAAAAAAGAAAAATAAATAATCACAAAAGGCTGCAAGAGAGACGCTAAGAGAGAAGACATACAGACAGGCTGGGAAAGAAAAGAATGAGAGATGAGAGAAGCTGAGATGGGAGCCTTCCAGGAGGCTGGGGGCAGGACATAATGTCCCTTCCTCTCTCCCTCCCCTTCCTTCCTTACACTAACAAGCACCTGAGGCCGTGAGACTCTGCCGTTCGACTGCTGCACCTCCCCCATAGCCCCACAGCTCCTGCAACCTTGCACGCTGGCAGGCAGAAGTACCATGGTTTCTGATTGGCTGGTGGCTAACTGTCCCATGCAGCCAAAGACCTGGGACAAATGGTGTGTCAGTGAATGGGCCAGGCTGAAGGGCACGGGGCAGAGACCTATTGGCCAGGGCAAATGACTGGGGGAGGGCCAGTGGAGTAGGAAAGCTGGCTGTAAATGTGGGGAGGCAGGAGGCTGGAGGAGAAGACAACACAGCCAAGGATAGGAGGTTGAAGGTCCTGTTCCGATACTCGTTTTTTTCACTGGCATCCAAGGTATTTGCTACCTAGGATAGGTATACCTATCGCATACCCATGCATTTGATTTCTGTTTCCTAAATGGAGAATGTTGCATTTTTCTCATTTAAACTGCTTTCTGTTATTTTCCACTCATTTCCATATTTATCAAGAATCCAGATCTGCCTATGAACTAATTATTTCAGATTTAAAGTTTTGAACAGAAATGTCATCTATTTTAGGCACCTACTCGCCAAGAAGTATACAGTTAGGCTTAGCATTTGAAATGTGGGCCTCATGTTAAATTCATCTCATGGCATCATGTGCTTTCTAGAGAACATCTGTTCCATGTGAATACAGTTCAAAGTAATAAGCCACCCAGCATGAAATGCTTGTTCTTTGCTCTCAAGAGCCTCTAGGGAATCACTTTAGTGACATCGAAAAAAAATGTAAAGGCTTTATTACACTCATCAAGCACAATCAAGAAGGTACCTATATAACTTTACACTCATCAGGGTGGAATATACAGCTGCTTTCTGCATTGTACTATGGCCATGGGTGTATTCCCCAAATACTTTTGATATTGGATTATGGTTGTGATTTAATTTGGTTCTTTACTTCAATGAACTCTTCCAGAAGATTTATTTCTTGACAAAAGATTCTGGCAGTTGTCTCAATGTTCTTTTTAATGAACCATTTCTTCAGTATTTCATTACTTCCTTGCAGGTTTACTTTAGGTGTTTCCTGCTTAGTATTTTCCTGCTTAATATACTCAGACAGTATTTGAAAATACTGTCTGAGTAAATTCATGAACTGGAATAGGGCTTAGCAACAGGTCAGCCAATGAGGGCTGTTCGGTAACTGAAACCTAGTATTTGTTATATGGGATCATAAGAGACAGTTTGGAGCCTGGGTGTGGCTTAACTGTTCTATATATAAGCTTGAGGGCACTAGCTTCTCTCTCCTCCATTTTGTCATCTCCATTTTGTGCTTCCATTTTGTGCTGTGTTTTGTACTTGCTGTTTCTCTTCTCTACAACGTGGAAAACCTACAAGGGTATTGTATACCTTATGTGTTGTTTTGTATATAAACACATTTTTGAATCCTGCTTAATTGTCTTATAGTGTGTGTGCAACAAACTTTGACAAATACCAACCTCTTCTTTTAGCTTTTTACAATAGTTAATACTTGGCAGTTAATACTTGTTTAAATCCATGTGGTTTAGCTTTATTGGTAATGAATCAGCATCAGAATTGCTTCTTGGGATGGAAGGCAGTGAAACTCCAATCTATCCAGAGGGCATCAGACAGCACTTGATTTCAGCCAAAGCACAAATAAAGATTGGGAGCCATTGCTGTCAGCAGTGATTGTGTGTTTATTAGGAAAAGAATTAAGAGATGCTGAGATATATAAAACAACTATCGGCTAGAATTTACACAAGTAGCGCCAAGAGGAGGTTTAAAAATAAGAACAGAAAGCGGAAACACATTTTCACAAGAGGCTTGAAGGGACATTGCTTCAAATGGTAGGAAACATGAATCATAATCCATAATTCAGGACTAATAGATTATTAGATTTTTATGGGCTTCATAGAAATTGTAGCCCAAAGCATTCAGAAAATGAAGAGTTATTAAGTGCTACAAAATAGCATGTATGAAATAGTTGACATGGGATGTTCTAGAGCAGTTCAGAAATCCAAATGACATATAATGCTCAGTGATATGTATTTTTTGCATTAAAAGTGTTTATATTGATCCTTCAGTTAATGGATAATGCTGCTTGACTGCTACACATGTTTTAACACTTTTTCCACTTATTTCCTTACACATCCCAGGATGTCCAAATATACTGTAGTATATCTTAGTTTATCAGAGAACATTATGTCCAGTCTGATCTTTAAATTTCACTTTGAAGCTCCTGATACATTTATTCTTTAGGTTCACACATGACTTTATGAACACATTGATTCCTTTCTGAACTCTTACAGACCAGTGGTGGGTTGCCCCTGGTTCGAACCGGTTTTATAGAACCAGTAGTAAAACCAGTGGGAGGCTCCGCCCACCACCCCCGATGTCATCAAAACGCTTCTGCGCTTGCACAGAAGAGCGTGCATGCGGCCTCACTGCAAACTGGTAGTAAAGGTAAGTAGAACCCACCCCTGTTACAGACCTGCTTGATTCATATATTGCATCATCATTAACCCATCCATTTCAATTCCATCGCCTACGGGAGTAACCTCACTATTCTTCTAGTGACATCTCGGCAGCTCTATTTGTTGAACGGGAGCAAGTCACAGCTCTCCAATCAAGCAGTTTACCCACTTCTCTGCAAAATCTTAGTGAAGTTTATTTGCTTTTGGCTTCAGGTGCTACATGAACCTAGCAGTGATGACTTATATAAAAGTGGATTGAATTCAGTTTTCCACAGAAACCTTGCTCTGCTATTGAAGTAATAGATGTGTCTTAATTTTCTTTGCTCTAATTGTATATTTTTTTTCTTAACCAACTTGTTTGATGAACAGTTCCAGAAGCTTTCCATTGCCTTTTCTGTTAGCCAGATAAAGTTATTACCTGAATAAAATTTGAATTTGTTCTTATGATCAACATGGATTCCATTATTTTTAAAGGTACGGGGTGTGCTTAATATAGCCTTCAAAGCAAGAACCTACAAAGAAGAACATTTAATGTTGCCTTGCCTCATGTGATCAGATAATTCAAATTTCAATTTAGCTCTGAGTAACCTTTGTAACCTATTACAATATTTCAGATTGTATCTGTAGGATACATGTTCACATTCCACCAGACAAATATTTTACATAATATAGAAACTATTTTCACTTGAATAATTAGAATTTATATTTTTTAAAATAGGGAATCTATAAACATTTGCTTGGTTCTAGTTTCTAAATAGTTTTAAGAGAAACCTTATAACAACCAGACTTTATATGCTTAAGAATTCCATATACCCCATCTAATCAGTGTATTGGTACAACTATGGCTCCAAAATCAACCACAATTGTTCCTCACTTTCCCATTTTTTTCCTATTCAACTTGCCTAACAATTGAATCCAGAAAGTGAATAACAATTTTGTAAAACTTCAGTTTGTCAAAATCTCTATGGATTTTACATTTTTTTTCTCATAGTCAACATGACAGCTACTGTTTTTTAACTGTATATTCATCATTCTGTTTGAAAAGAAATAAAATTGCAACTGCTTGGAGACCCCTAAGCTTAATAAATCATCAAGAACTTGTGAATTTCTGAACAGGGGCAAACTCCCAGAAATGTCAAGCTTAATAAAAGACACAGGGAGCTTCTAGTTGAAAAATGCAAAAAGAAAAAAGAAAGATGACCAACAAGGGCAAAGATTTATGAAAGTCCCCATGGCTGAATCCTGCTGGAGGGAATAAAGACAGAGCATCAGGAATAAAAGAGAACACAATAGGAAACAAATTTGCTTGGCAGCTGAGTTCCAGGAAAATCTCTGGGAAGAAGACACAGTTTTGAGGACTCAAAGGTCAAACATTCATTTGAACTTGGCATTCTGCCCAGAGACAAGAGAAACATCCAAATTCTAACACTATGAACAGCTGTGCAAAGCTATAAAGTAATACCTCTATTTGATTGAACCATCCTATTGAGGCAGATTGAATCCAACAACTTCAAAGGGCTATATTGCTGTTCAAAATGCTTTGTAGAATTGAAGGCTTTTTCTGTACTCTCAATTTTGTTTCAGATGATATGCAATGTTGCAATTTCAGTTCTAAGTATGGAGAAATCTGAAGAGGAAATAGAATATAATGGGGTGTCTGGTACTGATTTGTGTGCTTGGCCAAAAGTTTGATCCTTTCATTAAACTATCCAACCAGCTGTGGAGGGCATAAGATCACATTGCTTTGGCTTCACTTACTTTCTCAGTTGTCATCTTCTTTAACATAGCCAGTTGCAAGCCTTAACTTTGCCTTCCTTTACATAATAATGTCATATTTCTGGGTTGTCCCACCAACCATCTAAGGATTTGTCTGATCAATTCTTATTAGTTCAGTATGCACTCTAATGTCAAATCAGAATCTACTTTGGCTCGACGACTTCCGGTTGGTGACTTGCAGCGACAGGGTGTTGAGTGAGTGATCGCTGCTCCTCAACACCTCTTATCACCGCGTTTTGGGGATCCCTTTGGGGGCGTGGGACCCGGAGAGTCCTGCAGACAAAAGAGGAAGCCAGACGAGTGGGAAAGTGGGGTGCGACCACTTCCCACCAGACCAGGCGGCTCTGTCGATCCAATGCGGTGAGCCGGCCATTTGATGGCGGGCCTGAAGCTGTAATAGCCAGCAAAAGACGGGAGCTAAGGAGGAGATTGGAGGTGCCGTGTCAGATTTAAAGCCACATTCCCATACCCCGGAGCGATCGAGCGTCGAAAGAGGAGGTCGGTGGAGTCGGGAGAGGAGTGCTTGGTCTGGTGAGAGGCGGCGACGGAGAGGGCAGAGCAGATCCCAACTACGGAGACCCGACAAGCCAACGAGAGATACGGAGGGAGCAGATCATTTTTATAAAGAGCTCTGGAGGATGCGGTGAGAGGGAAAAGAAAACGACTATCGGTGTGGCTGGCGCTGTGATTGGCAAACGAGAAGGAAAGTAAACAGGAGAAACTTTTGATCTACTTTTGAGTGCTTCAGCGAAACAGGAAGTGCACCCATTGAACTGAAAGAGCGAGACAGCAGAGGATTGACAAGGAGACGCTCTAGCAGTGAGACTCATCATAGAGAAGTCCCGGAATCCAGTAGAGCGGCGAGGTGAAGATTTACAACTTCGTGAACACTATACAACAACATTTATATACTTATATTTATTCATTCTTTCTCCTCTTTCTTTGAGCAATTGTGATTCTAACTCTTGAACTTTGACTTTTAAAATTATTATTAATAAGAACTATCAAGAAATTGTTAAGAAATATAGAATATAGGAATATATAAATTAAGTATTGATTCTATCTAGTAACTGTTAGACATATTTACAAATAAGGACTTAGACTTGTATCTAACGAATTAATTTATTATATCTATACATACCTATCTAGTCATATTTATATACCTTAGAATATTTACTCCTACGGGTAATATTTATTAATTTATCTATATCAACGTTTCATATTAAGGCTTGAATTTAGATATATAAGAATTACAGAAGAATTTATTAACTTATTAATCTACTCATATTAATATTTATATTAAGGTTGAACTTAGTTATATAAGAATCATATTATATATAGGAGTATATAGGTATAAAAATTTTGCTGTTGTAATTATATGTGAGAATTAATTTAATCTTGGTGTGTTAGGAGGATCTGATTAAGAAAGATAATTTGATGAATTGAGTCCCTTAAATTGAGACAGTAACTTAAGTAGTGGAATTAATAGAGGAAACAGAGGCAAAGCCACTGAATGGTCATTTGGAAAAATATTGAGAAAATTATAAGAGAACAAAAGGCAACCTTGAAAGAAATGGCAACGATGACATCGACATTCTTAAAATCTGGCAAAAAAGCCCCATCTAATCCTACGCTAACAACACTATCTCCGGTAATCCAGAAACCCTTAGAAGGCATACAGAAGTTAGATAAGCCACCAACAACTCCAACTCTTCAAACAGTACAATCTTCTTTATTGCTGATCCAGGAGACCATGTTAGCAATGCAGGAGAAATTGCTAAACAGTCATTCTGAACTTAAAACAGACACCCACGTTTTGGACGCAAAAATGACCGAGATCCAAGTCTCTATCGCGAATAATGAGAGAAGAATTCAAAAGGATGGAACAAAGTGAGAAAAAACTAGATATGGTGGACTGGACATTCGCGATACAGAACAAAGGAATCGAAGAGTCCTTGATACAATTAGAAATGGATAAGGCTTCATACTACCTTCGCCTCCAAAATATATGCGAAGAGAAGGAAGAGGATTTAGGCGATAAAATAGCCGAGTTGATAGCAGATGTCCTTCAACAGGATAAACAAGATATCATTAAAGAACTTGATGAGGTTTACAGGGTTCAAACGAACTATGTGAGAAGAAACAGACTCCCCAGGGAGGTCCACGTGAAGTTCGCCAGGAAGAAAGTGAGGGATATTCTACTTAACATAGCGAGAGAAGAAAAGATTGTATTTAAAGGAAAGGAGGTGAATATCCTGAAACAGATACCTAGAAGGGTGAGAGAAGTGAGGAAAAACTACAGATTTCTGGCGAGCCAACTGAACAGAAGGGACATTATATTTCGATGGATCCTGCCAGAGGGGATGCTAGTATCATGGCAAGGAAGGAAAGTTAAAATTGATAGCTTAGCCGAAGCATAAGATTTTTTAGATCAACTAAGAGGAGAGGAAGAAGAACAAATCAGTAAAGAAGAGATCGATACAGTAAACACGGAAGAAGAAACCTCACAGGAGCAAAGCACAAAGGAAGACATAGAGGAAGAGAAGAAAAAAGAAGAAGCGGAAGGACAAGGAAAGAATGTTAGACCAGTAAGAGCAGTAACCCTAAAGACAAATAAGAACTAGAATCCGAACACAATATAAGAAATGGATGGCCTAAAAATTTTATCCTTAAACATTAATGGCTTAAACGATCACAAAAAAAGAAAAATAATTCTATCAAAACTGGTTAAACAGAACCTAGACATAATCTGCCTGCAGGAGGTCCATATAAAAAAAGATGAGGCAAACTGTTTAGAATGTATTAAATTTGGCAAATTATTTGTGTCACTAGCAGAGAAAAAGAAAAGGGGTATGGCGATATATGTGAAAAAAGGAATCGAGGCAGAATTAAAGTACAAAGATACTGAAGGGAGAATTCTAATGGTAGAAATTAGGAGAGGTAATGCAAAAATGATGTTGGTGGGAGTATACGCCCCAAATGAGAAACAGGGACAATTTTACAAAAAATTACACGAACAATTAGGGAGTTGGGCCCATGCTGAAATATGTATGTTAGGCAATTTTAATGGAGTTGTTAACCCAGTGAAAGATTATAAAAGCGGGGAGAGAAAAAGAAATAAAAGATTACCTCTGCCAAAAAGCTTCTTTGATCTCGTGGACGAAATCAATCTAATTGATATATGGCGTACTCTACACCCGCACGATTCCCAATTTACTTTTTTCTCAAATCCACAGAATTCTTGGTCCAGAATTGACATGGTATGGACTACTAGAAAATTAGATCTAGAAATTAAAAAAGTGGATATAAGTATAAATACTTGGACAGATCATAAACTTCTCGAAGTAAATTGGCATTATATCAACAAGAGAAGACAACAAAGATGGAGTCTAAGGCCCAACCTTTTGAATGAAAAAGAATTTATAACAAAATTAAATGAAGAAATTAAGCGCTTCTTCATCGAGAACGGCAAGCAAGGTAAAGCGAAGGAAATTGTATGGGATACCATGAAAGCGTATTTGAGAGGAGTAGCGATTTCGTATATGGCATTCAAAAATAAGGAAGAAAGGAAAGTTAGAGAGGATTATAATAGGAAACTAGAAGAAGCGGATAGCAAGTTACAATAAAACCCAGGAGACGAGATGGCCAAACAAAAGTGGATGATGGCA